CTCACATCGGTGGCGCCTGCCGTTGGGGACAAGAAGGTCATCGCAAGGAAGGTTTTGGGAACAGTAAAATGGTTCAGTGTAAGAAATGGATATGGTTTCATCAACAGGAATGACACCAAGGAAGATGTATTTGCACACCAGACTGCCATAAAGAATAACCCCAGGAAGTACCTTCGCAGTGTAGGAGGTGGAGAGACTGTGGAGTTTGATGTTGTTGAAGGACAAAAGGGTGCGGAGGCAGCGGATGTTACAGGCCCTGGTGGAGTTCCAGTTCAAGGCAGTAAATATGCAGCAGACCGTAACCATTATAGACGCTATCCACGTCCTAGGGGTCCTCCACGCAATTACCAGCCAAATTACCAGAATAGTGAGAGTGGGGAAAAGAACGAGGGATCTGAGAGCGCTCCCAAAGGTCAGACCCAACAACTCTGGCCCTACCGCAGGCGAAGGTTTCCCCCTTACTACATGCGGGGACCCTATGGGCATCGACCACAGTATTCCAACCCTCCTGTGCAGGGAGAAGTGATGGAGGGTGCTGACAACCAGGGTGCAGGAGAACAAGGTAGACCAGGGAGGCAGAATATGTATCGGGGTTATAGACCACGATTTCGCAGGGGCCCTCCTCGCCAAAGACAGCCCAGAGAGAACGGCAATGAAGAGGATAAGGGAAATCGAGGAGATGAGACCCAAGGTCAGCAGCCACCTCAATGTTGGTACCTACGCAACTTCAATTACCGATGCAGACGCCAGAGAACCCTAAACCACAGGATGGCAAAGAGACAAAAGCAGCCGATGCCCCAGCTGAGAATCCCTCCGCTCCGGAGGCTGAGCAGGACAGGGCTGAGTAAATGCCGGCTTACCATCTCTACCATCATCCAGTTTAGTCATCCTATAAGAAGTGAATATGAAACTCCAGCAATAAGAAATGAACAAAAGATTGGAGCTGAAGACCTTAAGTGCTTGCTTTTTGCCGGTTGACCAGATAACTAGAACTATCTGCATTATCTCTGCAGCATGGGGATTTTCTTATTTTTACCTAAAGATGTCTCTTTTTGGTAATGACAAATGTGTTTTTGTTTTTTTTTTTTAAAAAAAAGCCTGGTTTTTCTCAATACACCTTTAAAGGCTTTTAAATTGTTTCAAATCTGGTCAACTTGAGATTTTTAAGAACTTCATTTTTAATTTGTAATAAAAGTTTACAACTTTATTTTTTCAAAAAAGTCAACAAGCTGCAAGCACCTGTTAATAAAGGTCTTAAATAATAAAAAAAAGGAAAACTATAAAACATTTGAAAAAGAAATTTAAAATGATACAAAAAGTGGCAAAACATCCCATGTTTCTGAAGTGAAAGAATTAATACAATCAAAATGTCAATCCTACCCAAATTAATCTACAAATTCAATGTAATTTTGATCAAATTACCAGAGATATTTCTCACAGAAATAGAAAACAATCATAAAATTTGTTTGGAATCACAAAAGGCCCCATATCACCAAAGCAATACTACACAAGGGTAAAAAAGTAGGAGGCATCTCACTTCCTGACCTCAAAACATATTACAAAGCTGTGATAATCAAAACAGCATGGTAGTAGCACAAAAACAGACAAACATATAAACCAAAGGAGTAGAATTGCGAACCCAAAAATATCAGGCAAACTGATCCTTGACAAAGGGCACAAGACAATCCAGTGGGAAAAATAAAAATCTCTTCAGCAAGTGGTGCTGGGAAAATTGAATATCCACCTGCAAAAAAATGAAACTGTATCCCTCTTTCTCACCACTAACAAAAAATAAATTCAAACAGATTAAGGATCTAAACATAAAACCTTAAACTATACAACTACTAGTGGAAAACACAGGGAAAACTCTTGAAGACATTGGAATAAGCAAAGACTTTTTTCTCTTTTTTATTCTTTTTCTCTTTTCTTTTTTGGAGAGATGTTTGCTATAGGGCGCGTCCACTCACCAGACAGAGAGAGACTGAGAGGTAGAAAGCGAGAAATCACCCCCCAGGGGGTACGGCCACGCCGCAATCCCTTCTCCTCCATTCTCCTCTCGGGATCTTGGGCACACACGCACACGCACCCGGCGTGAGTTTAAGCCACCGGGTCCGGGACTCGAACCACAGTCGACTACATGGGCTACATGGGAGCCCGGCGCCTTAGCCATTACGCTAACTGCTGGTCCCAAGCAAAGACTTCTTAAAGAAGACCCCCAAAGCACAGCCAATAGTCCCCAAAATAGACAAATGGAACTACATTAGGCTGAAAAGTTTCTGCACAACAAAAGAAACAATAGAGTGAGGAAACAAAACTCAGAGTGGGAGACTATATTTGCATGCTATACCTTAGATAAATGATTGATAATCAGAATAAACAGGGAAGAAAAACAGCTTTCCTGAAAAAAAATATATTAGTCCAATTAGAAGATGGGAAAATGAATTAGAAGATGGCAAAATGAGTTGAACAGACATCCCTCCAGGGAAGGCATACAAAAAGCCAAAAAGTATATGGAAACATGCTCAATATCTCTTTTCATCAGAGAAATGCAATTGAAAACCACAATGAGATACCATCTAAACCCAGTCAGAATGGCTAAAATTTAAAAAATAAAGACATAAGTGCTGGTGAGGCCGTGGTGAAAAGGAAACTGTTAGTGGGAATGCTGATTAATACAACGACTGTGGAAACCAATATGTAGATTCCTCAGAAACCTACAAATAGAACCACAATTTGATCCAGTAATCCCACTGTTAGGTATGCATCCAAAGGGTAGGAAAACACTCAGATGGAAAAGCATTTGCACATCCATGTTTATTGCAGCATTATTTACAATTGCTAGGACATGGAATCGACCAAATGTCCAAAAATAGATGAGTTGATTTAAAAAATATGGCATATGTACTCTATGTAATACTATTCAGCTATGTAAAACAATGAGACCCTGACATTTGACACAAAGTGGACAAACATTGAAGACTTAATGCTAAGAGAAGAAACTCAGACTATGAAAGACTGACTGTATGTCCCCATTCAATATATACTGAATGTCTTCACGCCATGACAGATACCGAAAGATTAGAAGGTATGATAGCAGGGAGGGCAACTATAGATATTAGAGATAATGGATGAGGTGCTAAAAGGCAGTGTGTAATAGGGGGAGGGATGGAGAGGAACAGAGAAAAAGGCAAACAAACAATATGTTTAATGGACACAAAAAAGAAATGTGATTTGCTGATGATAATGTATATGGCAATGTCTTTGTCTTGACTGATAAGCACTGTATTCCTGTTAGGAAACACCATGTTGTACACTGTAAAGATGTATAGTGATTAAATGTAAGTAATAAATATATAAAGTAAAAAAAGAAAGCAATTTAGAACTTAGAATTTTGATAAATATAATTACTAGCTTTTTCTGTTCCTTAATAAATCATGGAGAATTTCAAAGAAGGAGAAAAAAATGATGTTCAGTGTCACTTCTTCAAACAAGCCTGCCCAACTCTTTGGCTACATCATGGCTCTCTGTACACACTTTTTGAGCACACCTCACACTCTTGTGCTTCATTCATTACACTTGTATTTAACTTATGAATTAGTTGACTCATATTTTATTTAAGTCTTTATTTCATACATATTTGTCTTCTCCAGTGGACTAGAGAAGAATACCCTAGCCGCAGGGGACTGGGTGTTCATTTCTATATTCCCAGGCCTTAGTACAGAAACTTGCAAAAAATTATTCATTATAAATAAGTAATAAAATGATATTATTTTATGTACATACGTTATTGTACTCCTATCAGCTCAACTCAGAGCACAGTTATGTAAGGAACTGGTGGCCTAGGGTTTCTCCATAGACTTGGTATTAGCTGTCACTTTGTACAGGTGTCTCTTGAGAAAGTCACGGGTGGCATAAAGGAGTAAAAGTTCATCTCCATAGACTTGTTGTGAGCCATAAGCAAGGGAGTTCAGGGAAGTATTCTGTACTGCGCCTCTCCCATGGTATGTGCTCAGAAAATGATGGCATCATGATCATTCCCTTTTCCCAACTAGAAAGCAACACCATACCACCCAAAATGACCTTATGCCCAAAATATAAAAGTATATTGAAACACTCAGACCTGACCAGGTAGATCCCTCTTTTGCCCAACCACATCTTCACGACAAGCAGAGTATGAGTTAAAGCTCAGATACATTTTTATCTGCATTGTACAGTAGGTGTTTTGTTCAAAATGCATTGTAAAAAAAAAATGTATTCCAATAGCAACCATTTTGGCTCCCTTTCCTTTTCCAACCCCAAGATCGTATTTTCTGAGTCTTTCTAATAGCGAGTTTTGTAAAACTACGTTAGTATTATCAAAACTCTTGCATCTTTCAATATTTTATTAAAAGATTTTTTAAAAGATGAGATAATCTGCCCTAGGCCACAGAAAGAGTAAGTAGTGAAACTAGAACTCCAAATTGATGCTTTCAGCTCTGAACTTAACATTATTTTACTCTAGAAGTAACTTTCTAGAAATTTCTAAAAGAATTCTAAATTACATAAATGATATTTCCAAATATCCATTGGTCTGAGTGTGAGGAAACCCAGTGCCTGATTCCTTCTGACCCTAAATCTAAGCTCCTACGAAATCAAGTAGCATCAGATTTACAGTAAAATAAGCACAGCCCAGGTTCAAGATTTTAATTAGTCACTGGCCTAGTATGAAGTTTCCAGAGCAACAGTTCGGTTGTGAAAAAGTCTAATCGCCAGGAAATAAGCATCACTGAGGGGAAAAATCCTCCCACCTTACAGAAGTGATGAAACAGCCTGGCACATTGGTAGAAAAGATGCCATTCTCTGAAGAAAAATAAAATCCTAGATGTAACAACTCCCGAGCTAACCAGATAAAATCATCCAAACATTGGCTGGCTCTGCTACTGTTTTTTCCTTCGGTATCAGATTCTACTGACGTTCAATGAGGACAGGTCATTTTTGTCTTTTATTATTTGTTAATTATCTCCTTGGGTCAAAAAGTACATAGGAGAACCAGCAGATGGCATAATGGTTACATCACTGGACTCCCACATAGTCAACCCATGGTTTGAGTCCCGGACCTAGCAGCTTAAACTCACACCGGGTGTGTGCACACGAGTTCCCAAAATCCCAAGAGTGGAGAAGGGATTGTGGCATGTCCATCCGCCCAGGGAGTGATTTCTCACTTTCTGTCTCTGTCTCTCCAGCGAGCACATAGGCCCTATAGAAAAAAAAAAAAAAAAAAAAACTCTTACAAATAAAAAGTACAGGGACCAGCAGTTAGCATAATGGCTATGTTGCTGGACTCTCATGTAGTCAACCGCGGTTCGAGTCCCAGACCTGGTGGCTTAAAACTCACGCCGGACGCATGTGCATGCATGCCCAAGATCCCAGGAGGAGAATGGAGGAGAAGGGATTGCGGCGTGGCCATCCCCCCGGGAAGCGATTTCTTGGATTCTGTCTCTCTGTCTCTCTCTGTCTGTTTGGCAAGCGCATGCGCCCTATGGCAAAAAAACCTCTCCAAAAAAAAAAAAGTACATAGCATTTTGTGTGTGTGTGAGTGATTGTAAAGGTCTTTTTTACCTTAATAAAGATACCAACTTCTTAAATGTGGAAATAAATGTGAACGTACCTAGCACTATTCGAGGCACATCTGGGCACTCAGTAAACATTTACTAACTTTGAACCTGCTGTCTGGGTGCCTTTAGCTTTTCACAACTGGCACCAAGATGTGCTTTTCTCCTAGCCCTACTATGGTACTACATATACTCAGAATGCAGAGCTCTTTTAAAGTCCTATTCCCTTGCCTAAGGATTTCTGACATATCAAAATACCATTAAGTAGAGTTTCAAAGTCAAAATAATCAGACTACTTTTCACCACAAACCCTGGAGAAATAAAACCACAAACAACTTATTCGAAAATCTGAGAAAATGCCATCTTGAGGGC